GTAGCGATGGCCTGCACCCTACTAGTAGTAGCGATGGCCTCCAACCTGGTAGCGATGGCCTGCACCCTACTAGTAGTAGCGATGGCCTCCAACCTAGTAGCGATGGCCTGCACCCTACTAGTAGTAGCGATGGCCTCCAACCTAGTAGCGATGGCCTCTCCTTGGATTCGTTTTCTTTGACGCTTTCTTGGCTTTCAGATGGATCGCCCACAAGTCCGCAGCCCTTTGACGTCTCCCGTCGCTGTGAGGTACCTGAGATGACACGGGTCCTGCTCAGCTCGAATCCTTCCTTGCCCAGGCAGCACGCAAAAGGAAGAGGGGGGAGGGTGTGAGTTTGCGGGCTAGGTATGCTAGGTCTATACTAGGTATGCTAGGTCCTTTTAGAGGATACCCCCGTTGCTCCCCGTACCAACACCCTATGTACGCATCCCTCATTTTGGTTCATTTTTCATTTTCGGTGGCTCTGTTCTTCCCAAACTTGCATCCGGCATCCCTTTTTCATCCCTTTTGGATCCCGACTTCCGGTCCCTTCCGGTGTCGTGGTTCTACTCTGCAGTTGAGGGTTCTACCGGACCCCTAGACCCTGGTAGGTTGACATCACTAGTCTATTCATTTTAATTTCCGTGGTCAACTAGGGTTCCCCCGGTTTTGACCCACAGCCATTCCGAGACACGGGCATAAAGAAAACCTTTTCTTCCTTTTCTTTTCTCTTTGTTTCTATTAGCGATGGCCTCCACCCTAGTAGCGATGGCCTCCACCCTACTAGTAGAAGCGATGGCCTCTGACATGCTATTCTTATCAATCAATATGAATGGTTGGTTGGGTAGGGACATATTGAGATGTGAAACATATAGTGGGGATCCTCAATCTTGGATGCCATTTTGGCTCAAGATTGGGGCTCCCCTCCTTTTCTTTGCCATGCCTGCCATTCTCTCCACTGAGCTCTCGACGTGGAGGGTGGTGGCAAGGCGGTGGAGGCGGGGCAACCGGGGCAGGGAGGCCAGCGTGCTACCCCGGGAGGAGCGGCTGGTTTCCCTTGCAGCGCGTGGTGCCTACATCGAGTCCCAGTGGCACCAGGTCTACAGGGCGCCCGACATCCCAGCTGACTGGTGCCGGACGTGTGCCCAGTGGACCACGTCCTGGTGCGAGGGTTGCTACAGCCGCTGTGGACGAGGCGGCGAGCCTTTTGGGGCCATCTGTCACCAGTGTGACAGTGAGAAGCGAGTGTGTGACAAGTGCACCACTCAGGGCATCTCGTGGGACCAGGGACACCAACGCTACGTGGAGGACCATGGCGGAGAGCAGGAGGCGGCGGTCCAGATCGAAGGGTTTGGAACCCAAGAGTCGGCCCCGCACTTCCACGAGGTCGACCAGATCATCAGCCCCTCAACATGTCCGTTGACGAGGTGCGCGCATACATCATCGAGCAGCTCCGGAGCGTTGAGGCCAGATCAGCCCATGGAGGGCATGCTGCAGGAGCTCCTGGTCGACCGGCCGATCAACCTCCTCAATCACCTCGTGGACCTGGGAGTCCAGACCTGTGAGGATGTTCATAGCCTGTGGCCAACAGGTGGCGCGCTCCTGGATGAGTTGGAAGGACGCCATGGCTCGGTGTCCGCGGAAGAAGGCTTCACCGTCGTCTCCTTCTGGACATTGGCGTCTCAGAGGGCTCAAGCCTCGCAGCGCCAGCATTTGAGGGAGATCTGCATCCATCGCCAATCCGCAGTCTCCACATCGGCACCTTCCAGGCCAGAGGGCCCTTCACAGCCGGCTGCCAGGCCAGTGCGCAGGCTTTTGGAGACAGGAGAGGTCCGGGAACCTCCGCTCCTCATGAGCCTTGCTGCCCGAGACCCTTACGTGAAAGAACAAGCCGCCAAGATGGCCAAAACACAAACCTTGTTCGAGCTGCTCATACAGGACTTCCTTGACCTGGATGAATTGGGGGTCTCCCGAACCCAGCTTCAGAACGCCACCAGAATGCAAACTCCTCAAGGAGTCTGTCATGCCGGCTGCTGACAGGCTATCAGTGCATCGCTTGGGAGCTCTGGCGAGCACCTTGCGAAGGTGGCGGGAGTTTGCTCTCAGGTTGGGGTTGATGTTCGGCAACCCTCCCCTCTACAGCTGAGCACCTTCCTCAAGGAGGTCGCACGCGGTGGTCCCACAGCGGCATCGGCCATGTTCCACGCCCTCAACTGGTTCAGGTCACAGTTCGGGATTCAATTCCCGCTGGACCACTGGATGGTGCGAGGCTACAAACTGCTTCCTGTGGGACACACCTCGCAACAGAAGCTCGAATTGCAACCATGGGAGTTCATCAACAGCTTCGCCAAAGTTCCGGCACCAACACATTGGTGCTGGCATTCATGTTGTGGGCGGCTGTGTCCTGCATCAGATTCGAGCATATCCAACGGTCCAAGTTTGACCACCTGGCTGCCAATGCTCTGTTTTTCACCTGTTTCACCTGCTCGCAGGGCAAGGCACGGCGCCAGGGGGCCCGGCTCCACCATGGAGCAGCTCAACCGTGACTTCAGAACCAAGTATGCCCTCATCGTGGAGGCTACTCTGGAACCCAGTGATGCTCTGCGAGCCCGGGTTTACAGAGAATTCGGAAAGAGGACAATGTCAGTGGTACCAGCCTCACGCATCAAGTCAGTCCTGCACCAGGCTACCCCGCGGCAACAGGATGCGGTAAAATTGGGGGAAGGCATCCAGCTCGAATTGGAGGAGTCCCGCACTATTCGCACTGTGGTGGACTACTACTGGTCGCTCCGCACATTAGCCTATGCATGGGCGTGGGCAGGATTGCACCAACAGCGGGGTCATGATGGTAAGGAGACGGTATTCATCTCCCTTACCGCTGCCCTGAACTATGCCGACCACGCGCTTTCCAGTGCCATGGAGTTCAGTCAAGGCTCCCGGTTGTGGTTGGAGCGCAACGACCTGTTGACGCTCCGAAATTCTTTGCTCGGCAATGGCTTCCATATACCAAGTGTCATGGCTCTATTGTGCTGCCTTCCATCCATCATGCAAGCTGACAAAGCAGCCATTCGATGTGGAGGAGTTAGACCTTGCTGAACGCCTTTGCCATACGGTGTGGATGCCGGGAAGGTTGGCGACCATGCCGGGTATCCTCACTGCAGGAGAAGTGTGTGTCGAGTTACAAGCCACTTTTCCTTTTCTCCCGTCTCGTGATGCAGTCTGGCCAGAGGTGTCCCGGCGGCTGGCAGCCTGTGAGCTGTCCACGCTACAAGCTTACCCGATGTGGCGCCGCCTCCGGCAAGAGTCATGGTCCCTCTTGGGCGCTACACCGGTTTGGGGCCGAGAACGCACAGCCATCTACGCTGGTCTCACGGGCCAAAGATACGCCAGTAATGCGGCCAAAGGACTTGATCACCTCCTCCCTCCGGGCAAGGGCAAGCATGAGCATATTGCAGCTGCCTTGGAACTGCCCTCACCATTTGCCCCCCGCCCCTGGCCTGAGCCAGACATGACCTTCGTCATCCAGGCTGTGGCAACCTGGAGACAAGCTCTCCCTCGCTGGGCAGAGAAGCTGCGCCATGTCCTTTCCACGGTGGCGCGGGCGGTGACACCCCTGGAGGACGCACTGAACCCCTTCCGATGCCAGAGTGCTCGGAAAGTGGCGATGGGCAAGAGACCAGCCTTTGTAGCCACCATGGTTGCTTTGTTGCGATGGCCGGACAAAATGCTGGCAAGACCCTTGGTTCTGGGCTTCGACATTGTGGGCGACATGGAGCACTCAGGTGTCTTTCGACCCATTGTCCAGGACGGAAAACTACCCCTGGACCAGTGGTTGGGGACTGCAGCCGAGGCTGACCTCGATCGCCTCCTTCGTTCAAGCCCTCCGGAGCATGTCCAAGACATCCTGGACCTGACTAACGAAGAGATTGAAAAAGAGTTTTGCTCCCCTTTGCGCACAGCACGGGAAATGGATGACTTGTTTGGTGTTGGGGGGTGGCGGTTTCGTGGAACGTTTCCTCATCATCCAACCAGATGGGAAGAAGCGGGCCATTGACAACGCTCGGAAAAGTGGTCATAATGCCCATACAACAATGCACGAAACGATCTCAACTGTCAATGTTGACTTTTGTGCTTCAGTAGCCCGTATGCTGCATTCTGAAATGCCCTTTCCGGTCGGTTCACCCCCAGAGTGGCTTGACATCCGTCTGGGTACGGATGATCTACCTGACGCTTACCGGGGCCTGCCCGTTGCTGACTCCCATCTTACATTCTCTAATGTTGCGATCTTCGTTCCATCATTGGGCTGGAGATTCACATGTATGTGGGGTCTGGCTTACGGTCTAGAGAGCGCGGTGGTGAATTTCAATCGCTTCCCGCAACTTGGTATTGCCATCACCCGTAGATGTCTCCTAGGGTGCTCAGCTGCATACTTTGACGACGAACTGTCTGTGGAGTGCATTCGCGACAGCGATGTCTCCCAACGGAGCCTCCAGCTGGTGTTCAGACTGTTGGGAGCACCTCCTCAGAGTTCCAAAAGTTTTGTACCGGCGCCCAATAGACATTACCTCGGGACCTCAGTCCACGTAGGAGACTTTGGCTGGTTAGGAGTCATTAGATTCCAACCAAAGACCTCCACTACAAGGAAGGTCCAAGCCAAGCTCCACGAGGCTATAGCCACCCGACACCTTCGACCAGACGATGCGGGGAAGCTTCGTGGCGACCTCAACTGGCTATTCAGCATGTGCGCAGGACACGCTGGCCGCTTCGCAGGGCCAGTGTTGGCCGCCAAACAGCATGCTGCCACTTCTGAATTGGCAGACTCCGAGGTCACTACTTTACACCTCCTCAGCATCATGCTTCAAGAAGCCAGGCCCCGGGATATTGAGGTGTGCTCAGCCACCAAATCCCCCCTGGTGATCTATTCAGATGCATCTTTTGAAAATGGCACATTACGTGTGGGATGGGTACTCATGACATCTCCTCCTTTGGGAGTATCGTGCCTGGTACCATCCGAAGTGACTGATTCATGGATCGAACGTCACCAACGGATCTACCCCGGCGAAACACTTTGTGGACTCCTCGTGCCGTGGGTCCATGGTGCCGGTCGTGACCTCCTCTGGTTCGTTGATAATGAGGCTGCTGTTTCCTCATTAATTAAAGGTTCCAGTGGACAAGAGGACGTTCATGCCATTGTCCAGTTAGCTCATTTGATTTTCCAGAAACGTCAGATTCGACCCTGGATCGAATGGATCGACTCCGCCAGTAACCCTTCTGATGGTTTGTCCAGGTTGGGTATTGAGGACGAATGGACCCGTACCCAACCGTGGCGACTGTACGAACTGTCTTTCCCAGTCGAACTACGTTTTGTTTCTCGGCCTACGGACCTTCAACCTTTCCTCTCCTATTTGAACAGTGGGTGATTTTGATTGACAGTGGGTGATCAGGTATGTTCATCAAAGATGACATAAAAAGCTAGTCTGTGGGTTTTCCAACCACGACTGTCATCCCAGTGTTAATTTAACACTGCTGTTCAACTAAGGAGCGTGTTAGGTCTGTGGTACCGCCGCCCTTACCTAGGCAGACTTTGAGAGTTCATTCTCCACGGAAAAAGACGCCTGCTTTACCGTGTGGAATCGTCCTGTATGTTTCTTTAAGATCACGAACTGGGGACCATCCTGTTGAAGTTCCAAGTTGTGTGACTCCTTGGGCCCAGGCTAGCCGCAGCCGAACAGAGGCTTGTGGATGCCGCGAACAAACCAGGCACGGCAGGTTCTTTGGAGGCTTTTGGATATATACAGATCTTGAGGATGAAGACCCATTGGAATAGCATTGGCATTGATACATATATATACAGAACATTGTTTTCATGATTATCTCGTTATTTGGGCATGTTGAATTGTAAAATCCAGCAGATCATCTCATGAAAGCGCTATCACACAAACACACCCATGTTCCGGTTTTCCACACAAAACAGTCTCAAACAACTGAAGACTTCCCACAATAGACTTGGCATGTTGAATGTTTTGGCTCGTTCTCCAGGCAGCAGCAGCCCTACCAAGCGCCAGCTACGAAAGCATTGTGTCTTTACCTCGGCACATGCCCCAGAGTCGAGTGGTTCGTCACGTTGATCACCGGACAAGACCTGCCGGACGAGCCAACACGGACCGTTCAACCGGGACTTTTGGAGCACAAAGCATGAATTCTCGCCCCTAGTAGCTTCTTGTTCCTAGTAGTACGGCCAGGAGCCCCTAGTAGCTTTCTTGCTCCACTGCCCCCGCCCCCACATGACTCTTCACAATGCTCACGAGATCACGAAAAGCAAAAAAGAAAGGAATTTCTCAACATGGACTGGTACGTGTGAGAATGTCTCAGAATTTCTCAAGAGACCTTTTAAATTTTAAATATCATCGGAATCTACTCATTCGGCCGCTCCAGTCCTCTGGCTTCGTCCACTACGCTGGATGAAGGTTTTACAGCCGGGCCACCTGAATCCGGTGCGGGCGACGCAGGGCCGGTCGGGCGTCCGTAGCGTTGGACATAGAAGTCTTCAGAGAACAGCCATTGGAATAGACAAACTGGATAGACGCGTTGGCAAACCGGTCGCCCTTTGCCCCTGAAATGGAGAGGTTTGCTGGATCCGAGCATCGGCCAAGCCGGAAGTCACACTGGGTCGGAGAGGTTTTTCCATTCGGCGAGGTTTAGCAGGGCTGCCAAGCCTGGTGGAATCCTTTCCGTAAGATGGGCTAATTCAACAGATGGCAGTATGGCTGAACATCCACGGATACATCCGGTGTGGGTACAAAACAACTCTTCTTTGAGATTTTGAGGAGTGTGCATTCTGTTCCTTGGCTGATGGGTCTTCCCCAAGTCCCAAGGTGTGGCGGGGTGAAGCATGGGGGTGCTCAGAGGGTAGACGTGGCGGTGGTACCAGGCTTGGCAGCTTCCCATGTTGCGAACTGGGAGAACACGGAACAATAGCAATTCCTTGTTCCTAGCCATTGAGCTTCTCGCCATTAATTGATGGAGGGGTCAGCAAAACATACCAGGCAGACTTATGGTTGAGTGGGAGGACTGCCACTGCTGTTATGTATCAACGGCGGGCTTTTTAACGCAGACGACATGGGCAGGCACCGTGATTGAATGAATGGAAGATATGGTTATGTAGATGGTTATGTAGATGGTCAGTTGGTGAGGACTAGACTGCTCCGCCATCATCCACGGTTTAGACTGCTCCATCATGTAGGTTCGGTTGGTTTAGATCATCAGATTTTCGGACCTCAGCTTCTCATCGGTGGCATCTCTGCAGGTCTCCCGAAAGAAAGAGGAGCGTGTGGTCTGGGGAGGGCCTTTGTTCACCAGCCGTGCGTGCCTCAAATTGGCGAGTCTAAAGACCTCCAAGAGTATAGTATAGGAAAGTAGATGGCGTCTTATCGAAGACGCATCAGGCGCATCGTCTTTCCGAAAATTCGGATTCTGATTTGAAGCAACTGCCAGGTGGAAAGGTGCGAGCGGCCAGGTGTGAAACCATGCGACTCGACCTTTTGTCGACATCTTTTGCCCGTGACTCGACGCCTGCGATGCCTTCGTCGTTCGTTTTGAGCCGTGGCTGTAGGTGATGACCGGCTATTTCCAACCTACCGACATTCTACTCGAAGCAGAGCATTTTGTGATGATGTTCATGTTGCCAGGACGCTTCAGCTGAGCAGCAGCAGCAGCAGTAGGCCTTTTTGTGGCTGAGGTCAGGAACTAGTTCAAGCTGATCAGACACAGCTTAGACTCAGTCCAGTAAATTAAAAAACAAGATGACAACAAAGTTACTGGACTTCTGTATGTTATTTCTTTCGAAAGCCACTGGGCCGGGCCCCTTCACTGGTATGGGCTGATCATGGATGATATATATATATATATTTGAATATTTGTTTCTTTTCGTCAGGAACTCAGGTGGATTCCGTATCTGCACCCAATGGACTACTGCTCAGGTGCTTCCATTCCGAAGACACAGTAGTGCAAGTGCTACTTTTGGTGATGGACATGTGAACGTTCCTGGCACTGGCAACGCCTCTTTTTCCCCAACAGCCATGAAGCAAGGGCCTATGGCCTATGCAGAAGACTGAGTTCCAGCATGACGACTGTGGTTCGGTAGATTGCGATGCTGCAGGATTCGACGAACATCCCCAAAGTCGAAGTTAACACAAAGTAGACTCCTGGTGCATATGTTTGTCTAAAGGAAGGCACAAAGGCAATTCCACACGACCTGATACAGAGGCAATGCGACAGGCCAGGTAAGAAGATTTTGGATCCTTCCAGCCCGCACTCCTTTGCATTGGTACTTCCTGGATTTCATCCAAATCTCTCCAGGCTATGTGAGTTGCGAGAAGCAAGACAGTGGCCACGGGAAACGATTTATATAGTTTCCTCCCCCCTCTAGAGATGGTTCGACTGAAGGTAAAGTAAGTTTTGATGGGTTTGGAATCCTTCCAGGGTGCGTGGTGGATTTCACACCTCAGGTCCACGATGGCCGATTGAACAACGAGTTATAAAGGACCTGTTGGGCATGGATCCTCTCATGGCTGACCAAATGGGGTTCGTTCCCATCCGCTTGGCTGAGCCATCCGGGGCGTGGGCAAAAAGGAGTGCATTTGAGACAGACGGCCCCAGTCCAGTCCAGAGTTTGATTTGTGCTTGGTCACTCGGGCTGGCTTTTGTCGGGAAGCTGAAGCCACCATAATCATCTAGTCATACCAATCATGGACTCAGGATGTGGCAGGAAAACTATATAACTGGGACATCTGGGACCAGGGTCCTTGAGGTTTGGGATTTACCCAGATGGGCTTCCGCTAAAAAGCTTGGGCTTCTGACTGCTCATGGACATAGAGATCTGCCACTGCTTCTGTGCCCAGGTGCTGTGACCGGCGGTCTGGGACGCTTTGAAGGGATGCGGCATGCAAGGCGGTTGTGAGAGAGATGAGAGGCGATCAGAGGTTTTGTATTTGTCAATCTGTCATCTCGGTCTCTGGCATCCTCATTCCGAATCGGTAGAGTGGTAGAGGGTGCGCAATGCAAATCGAAGGATCAGAGAGTGTGTGATTGCAGGGGCTGGTGAACTTGACCACAAGCATTGGGATCATCCTGCGATTCTTTCTGATGGAAGCTACAATTGGGGACACATTTTTCGGCACTGCCGCAGTTTGGCCTCAAGATCCTCAAGCCTCATTGGCCTAATTAAAACTCAACATGGCGCCGCGCGCGGGCAAGACGTCGGTCGTCGCCTGGACGGAGTTCACTGGTGTGGAGCCAGAGACATGGCGTAGATTGATGTTTGCGTGCACGATTTCAGCACGCCGGGCTGCTGAGGGTCTCGAGTTGCAAACACTTGCACCAACTTGCGCCCCTTTAAGCCTGAAGTGGGATTGACTGAGCCTCAATCTTCTGTCAACGGACATGGACAACTGGGGCCTGGAATGTAGTTTCTATGCAAAAATGCAACGATGCACGTGCGTGATGGTCTGTCTGTGCAGGTCCGTGGGAGATCTCTTAACCCACTTCCATTGCATCTCAAGGGATTGAATCTGAATGATAGCAATCGTCTCTCAAGTGGCCATGTAGGAGGAGTCACACTCTCAGAAGATGGGTTGGCTTCAAGGGATCCCTTCCTTCAACTAGTTTACCATTTTTCTCGGAGAGAAGGCTTCTCCGAGTCAAGTTCGTTCCAAAGCCTCGCTTCCAGACTCAAAGGGCAGGCAGACAGGACGCTGTTGATGGAGAAATTTGCGCAGGCATGGAATCATCTAAATCATCATGTCCATTGACCTTTACATCGGCCTCTCCAAAAAAGAGGATTGAACAGTGTGTCCCCCAACACGCCTCTCTCGATCCTAGATGTTGTTTGCAATTCATTCGGAACATCTCATCTCACGCCGAGGAGATTGAACCTGTTGCACATCCAGGGTTGGTGGTAAAGGCCATGGAGGGCATGGGAGCCTCATGGACCATGGCACACCTGTTGGTGCCTTGGACCGCCAGGACTGGAAGAGACATGGAAGACAGCAGCGGAAGGTGGTGAATTCTGGAGCTGGCTGGAAGTGAATCATAACATATACGTCAGAATTCGGTTGGCAGAACCACGACTGAATCACGACAAACATCTATGCCAGCACTGACAGCACTACCAGCACTGCAGTTCTTTTCAACTGCTCGGAGCGTGGGTGCAGAGCCTAACATAGGTTTCCATTCCATCATTTCCACACCAACTACCTCTCAACTTGCGGACGGGAACTGCAGCCTGGCCAGCTCAGGCTGAGGAGGCGTCTCAAATTGCTTTGAGGGTCTTCCTCCTGGACAACTCGGGATCCACCTGCAAACCAGACGGCCACGTGCCACTTGGCCACGACCGCCATTGCCACACCGCGAGAGAAACTCACGGAACGGGTTGCGACGGGTGGGTTGCACGAGTGTTCTGTACGGCAGCTCAGATCATGGGATCTGAATCATGTAGAACTAGGAACTCTTTTTGAGATACCGATACCGGTCTTGCATCAAATTACCTGGTTCTCACTCCTATTGCTCCCCACCCATTGGAATGGCATCCACTTTGCACTTATGCCATCTTATGCCTTTGATATCGGCCACTCCTGGCACCAAGAGATTTTCGGGGCCTGTTTTGCGACTTCTCTCCTTCGCCTTTTACTTCACTTTATTAATTTTAGATGGAGCCCGTGACGTCCGCCTCAGGCTGCAGAAGACCCACCTGGGTGAGACCATGCAAGTGCCCTCGAGTCGATGGGATGAGATCGTTGCCATGGCCTTGGAGCAAGCGGAATGGATCCTCGGCGAAAAAGAACATGGGGACACCCAGGATCGGCTGGACTATATAAATAGCAACCAACTACCCCTGGATGGAAGGATGGATGATCGCTTGCGCCAGGTAGTACTGGATTTCTTGTTTCAACAGGAGTAGACTGTATATAACAGGATTTCGAATTGCTTCCTCTTACTAGAATGCATGCCTTAGTGAGTCCAAGCATCGGCGGTCCTTGGCAATTTGGGTATTGAAGATGAATGAACATTGCGTTCCTGATGTCATTTTACTGACACCATATCTGATTGCTCTTTTGTACCAATACCATCTTATCCTAGCCGTAGCCTCAAGATGCTTCGTGCGCCCCAAGAGAAAAACACCAAGCAATGATGCAAGAACCGGTAAAATGTCCAGAACTTTCTCGCGGGTTCTCACTTGCCAGGAACGCCTCCCTGAACGTGCGCTCCGAGTTTGTCCTCCTGAATCCTCCACACGGCGGCACCGAAATGCGCGAGGGGAGGGACTTCGTGACGGTGGACCCGGCGATGGGAGATCCCAAACAACAGGCGGATCTCCTCGGTGGAGACTGGTGGAACCAGGGCGGTTCTGATGCGAAGCACTGGGGAAGTTGATCTTTGGTAGTATGAAGACAAGACTTTCCAAGGTGCTTATAGCTCTACCGGGAGAACTTTTGCCTTGGGATTCAAAAGAATCCTCGTCCTCTTCCTTCATGTGGCCACCACATCTGGAACTTTGGAACCTGAAACTCAGTCCAAGAGTGAAAGGCTCTCGCAAAAATGGATCGAAAGCCACTGACCCATTGCTTCCGTGTTTTCAGAGACCGGTTCCCAAAACAGGTGGACCGCTTGGCCCAGCTCCTCAAGCGGAACGGCCCTCGCGGTCCGACCCCACTGGCGCAGCGCATTCGGCAGCTCAATTGGCGCCTGCAGAGGGAGGTGAAGGACCAGGGACCGGCGAAAGATGGCATTCAGATGGCAATGTATTCAGCATGGATTTGGAGCTTCTAGCTTGGTCTATTGGGTACAAGAAGGTTGTTCTGGCTGTCAAATCTTCCGAAGACACCTTCCTTGTTCTCATGATCTTAGGAACATCATCGTGTCAAATGACTTTCTCTTCTCTCGCCCCCGCTCTACCCACAGATTTCACATGCCTTTTTTAAGAGTGGATGCTTCTTGGCTCGCCGGGAGCCCTTGACCAGGCTTTTCCACTACCCGGTAGTCGCATCGACGGTGAGCGCTCGAGGATGGACGACGCATCATGCTTTCGGTGGTCACCGATGGCATCCCTACCTCGGCAAAGGGGGACCCCACGGAGACCTGGTTGGACTGCTGTAGCGTCGCAGCAGGGTCTTTCAGGGACCCAGAACCGATGAGGAATGTCCATTGCGCCATCTCCTTTTGCTTATCTTTTGCTTGGTACGTCCAGTAGCTACGCGAGCGTCCGGGAAAAAGGGTCGTACTGTAAGATATACGTGGAGTTCATTGAGGTTTTGTTGATTGGGCAGAACATGTGATTGGATTGGAGTTTATCAAGTTGTTTGTAGCAACCGGAGAAGGGGAATCCATCATGGTGTATATTCCTTGCCGTGCAACTCCATCTAAGGATGAGTTCATGAGAGAACTTCGAGGCTTTGTGGATCATTTGAATGCTTTCGTGGTGATTCGGCTGGCGACGGATGATGATGAGGTTGTATCTTGGCCCTCAACTAGAAGGACGAGGAAGAAGAAGAGGAGGACAAAATACTGTTCAGTAAGTGGAGGTGCTTCATAAAGTAGGGTGCAATAGTCCCAGGGGTACAATGGTTTCAGCGTCGATTGCACAAATTCCTTGATGTCCAAATACTTCTCCATGGGCGCGGCTGTCTTGAGAGAAGTCGCAACACCAAGGAGTCCTAAAATAGGTCCGAAAGGAGGCTTTACGAGAAGGTTTGCTTTCCACACAATCTTTGCTTCATAGAAACTGGCTAGGAGCAAGGTTCGCTACGAACAAAGGGCATCGCTACTAGGAGCAAAACACGCCACTAGGAGCAACACAAGCTTTAAGCTTAAAGACCTGGAACGTGGCCGGTCCGGAGTCCCCGAACAGATGGGCTGAAGAGACGGCGGTTTTTGGGCGTCCGCGGTAGGAGCATGACACCAACGACCATTCATCCAAGCCCAAAAAACTGTCAGACTCCAACGAGAGGCTTAGTAGAGACTTAGACCTTGGAAGGGTCGGGACATGTCTTTTGCAGATCTTTTGGATGGATGGACTAACGGAAGTCAGCAATACCAGTCACCCACGGGATCGAAGCGCGGCCAAACCCAAAGGTCGTCAGAATGTCGCAATGCTTATAAGAAAGAAATGGGACACCCGAAAAGGCAACGTACCGATTGAAAATGGATCTGAATCGACAAGTAGCTTTGTCATTTCACCGGAGAACTGACTAACCAGACGGCAACAAAGTCGACGCTGTTTTGGGCACCAAAGACTTAAAGATACCAAAGCCGTCTTCTTGCTCCTAGTAGTAAGGCCAGGAGCCCCTAGTAGCGCCCTTGCTCTTAGTAGCGATGCTAGGAGCCCCTAGTAGCGTCCTTACCAAAGCCATTGCTTTTGGGTCCTTTTCCAACTCTTCAGAGTCCTGGACTTTGGAAAGGTCGTGAAACTGTCAGGCACGTGGTCCCACTTCCAAGAGCACCAATTGAGTTTCCCATTCCTCACACACCCTGCTCCGAAACCCAAAAGGAGGCGGCACAGTTGAGTGGTCGCACGGTGAAATGGATGCAGGAAATCGAATAAACACATTGACCAGTGAAGCGTACCCTATGTCCCCAATGTTATGTGCATGTCGTATATATTAATTAGTATACATCTGCCTCATGCCAGATTCGACCTGCCAGAGCTATGAGGTGAAGTACTACAATCGCATCGATGAGGAGCTGGAGCTGCCCTTGGATATTCTGGATGACTTGACCGGGGAAGCCAAAGAGCTACATGAAGTGCCTGGGCATTCTGGGTAGGAAGCATTTTTCATGTGAACTCAGATAATAAAGCAGGTTGTGACCTAGAAACCATCAAGTTCTTTCTTGATGTAAGACTCCATGAAGTTTGGTCATGCACAAGCACCAGGCAAAAACAGCCTGGACAATTTACTTCCATATGTTCGGGGTCCCGTTTGTATTGGGTCCAGTTAAGCTGGGAGAAAGAAACCACGCTTGCCTGGTCCATGTGCCATTGAGCAGCTTTCGAGGCGCTGGGGGTTCTCCGCAAAACCACAACTGGCCATCCGGGGAAGAGCCAGAGGTCCAAAACCAGTGTCGAGCCTGCATATAGGTGGGCAACGGATGGTTTGCCTATACCCCCTTGCTTCATCGAATCCGAGAAGGCCTGTGTCACAGCCAGACTTGGTCCTGCTGTTGCTGTTGCTGGTGGTGTCCGTTGCTGTTGTGGCGGTGGTTTGCACATGGCGAGATATGGTGAGTCTGAGTTGAACGGAATCTCTGGATATCCAACGTGGTGGCGATTCCAAATTCAATCCATACACCTCATGAGCATGAAATGCCTTTGCCTTTAAGAACAAGATTACATTGCCTTTTTCACTTGAAGATCAGAACTCGAGCTAAGCTCGCATGGTCCATCATACATGTGTCAACGTTTCAACTTTTTACAGATGCCAACATGTAACATTCACCTATGTATCTTTTATCCCAGATGATCATGTTGAGGGGCCTCCATGTCGCCGCAACTACAGGTGGCGCCCTGAATAAACTCTTCGACCTCCTTGATGAACGTGCACTGAAGCTGCCAGAGATTGCAGAGATGCTCGAGCCTCTCAACAGCGGAAATGGTGTTTTTTTGGAACAAGGACCTCCAGGATCAAAGCAAACTATGATCACCTCAAGCAGCTTCATCCCACCAAAATAAGTGGCTATGTTCCACTTATATAAGTTCGCACTTTCTATGTTTGTTTTGAGGCACATGGGCCATGGCAAGGACCCAATTTATCCTTCTTTGAGGCTCCAGTATGCCTGGTGAGATGGGAACCTTCTTACGGCATCAGATCAGTTCGATAGGTCAAAGCTGGAGGTTTGGCATCACATGCGGTGGCGGCGTAGGGATCATGGTTTGTTTTGGCAGGACCGCCGCTTCACTCATTCGTGCAGGTAAGTGCGTCCCATCCCACACGGCAAGTGAGTGACTTTTGGACGGCCCCCAAAGAAGACTTCTTTTTTGGGTGCAGATCCTATCAACAAGCAACTGTTCAAAGCACGACGCATCAAGAACCCTCTTACCAAGCTGATGTACTTCAGGCCCCTCATCTATTCGATCACATTAACCAGTCTCCGTTCGCGCAAAGATTGATGTGGATCATTCACGCATCGTCACTCGCCCAGTCGTTCACCCGAGTCACTTCTCCAGTCGTTCACTCGCCCAGCATCGCCCAGGCTCCTTTTCCGTCACCCCGAGGATCCCCCCTTCCCCCGCTGCCCTCGTGCGCTCTACGCGCTGGCACAGAGCCGAATGGGCATGAGCAGCTCCGTGTTCAATGGGCACCGGCAATGTATGACGCCTCCGGTGGACCTCAAGGCCATGGTTTATTTTTAAAGACCTTTAACATACTTCAACTATTTTTTATGCTGCTCATTTTGATTGTATTTTTATCCTTTGGGATTCTTTGGACCCTTTTTTCTCCAATGGGTGGACTTCGAGGCCCAGTCGGTGAGTTGAGGACGGGTCCGAGGAGATCGCCTTTGAAACGAGGGAGATCCCAAGTGGGTGAGTTCGATATGATTTTTGCCTGGCCAAATAGCATTCTGGTCCTCGAGTTCACAAATGCCATAAAGCGACCCCTTCCATTTCTAAGGTCAGGCACCCGCAGTAGACGTACTGAAGCATACTGAAGCCATCCATCTCCAAGCTTTGCTTTTCCCTTTTCCCACCACCCTTTTCGCAGGCCTTGAAGAGGGCCTTGGGCTTAAGCAGCTGGCCACGCCTTCGAGCAGAGCTCATGAAGACTTTGCTTTGCGCCAAGATGACCACTGCGCCCTGACCTGACCTCTTCCTTTGGAATCCGGACGAGGATCTCAGTGGAAGAGCCGTGCGGTACCCCAGTGATGATCTCAGCGCGCGCCTGGTGATCGAGGCTAATGGAGGTAAGATTATCCTGTTGTAGGACTATGACTTCATCAAGTTCTGCTGACCTTTCCAGGGGTTGTCAAAGGAGTTTCTGAGAATGAGCAATGCACATTGATCCAGTCTGTACAGAAACATGTTGCCAAATCTCGAGGCCCTTTGATCGCTTCCAGAATGTACACAACAGTTGTCTGTTTGTTTGGAGTAAACTCAGTTTCTCAAAACTCATGGCACAAAAGCCACCAAATATCTTCTTTCGAAGGTTGAGGTGAACGCAGCAATGGCCTGATAGTCAGCAGTTTCTGGTCCAAACACTGCAGCAAGTTTTAAAACATCGAGTATCAAAACAAGCAGGGACTTAGGATGAAAAGGGCATGGATCATCATGAATCTGTATGCACATCCAGTGAGATTGGCTAAATTCCACATGTAGACAAAATACAACTATTTCCTCCACATGTGTTATGTACATGTTAACGTTATGTAGCAGTGACCAACCTTAGAAGACTAAAACTGCCTGTTTTGCAGACATGCGTAGCCAAACCAGAACTTGCAGCACTGACGAATCCAACTGTCGGGCCTGCAATGACAGATTCGGACGCGAGCTTGAAGCAGTTGGTGTCAAGAGGATGGAAATACCACCATGCAACCTTTGATTTATACCTGAAACTCAGCGGTGTTTTGTTATCAGCTTCGGCAGTCACCCATGTGGTCTTGCCCGAACTCAGACGGCTGGTGCAACAGGAGAGGCTTCACAGCAAAGGTGATGAGTTGAGAGTCAAGAAGGTCAATCTTGATCTCTCCAACACTGGACTCACAGATGTTGCACTGAATGCCTTCCTGTCTGCCTGGCAGACCTTAGGCATTTCCAGCTGTTCCCTTTGCTTCAGATTACAACGCAACCGTCTCACGGGAGTTTCCTTGGTGACCCTGGGACACTTCGTGACGGCGGAGTCCATTGGAACCTTGGAAGAGTTACATGCAACGCATCAGCTGGGGCCTGAGCTGTTCACCCGAACTTCGGTGCTGAGCTTCTTGAAGAAACTCTCCCAGTGCAGCAAATACCCCATCTGGGTGAAGCGACGGCGCTGCTTTCGACCGGTTCATCTGCGCTTGGGACACTGTGGGATTGAGAAGCCTGAGGAAATTGCTGGTGAGATGGAGAACCTTGTCAACATTTATGGAATTTCACTGCTACGACCTCTTGTTGTATTGGACATTTGCACTCTGAAATTTATTGAACTCTGGTCCCTTTGACAGAAAACCATGCTTCTTAGTTGTATTTTCTTGCACTTTACACAGTCTGTATAATGTGGGGAGCTGTGGATAGTTATTCATGGACCATTAGACATTTATAGTGTGACCTGCCCCTCAGTCCGGTCACGGCAGGAAAGATGGAGCCCGGATCTGCTTTGCAGATGACCAGGGCTGCATCCGCGCTGCTTGCGCGTTGGCGCGTCATGGCGCAGGATGTCCGGTGGCGCATTTGTACGACTTTCGCAACCAGGAGCTGCCTGCGGAAAGGCCAGAGCCACTGGGAGCCCCGGAGAGATTGAGGGAAGCAGAGCAGATGGAAGCGACGCTACAAGGAGAGAAGGGAAAACTCTTCCTGTGTGGATCATGTGAGAGATCTCTTCCAATCGACATGTTTACCCGATGTCAATTTTCCAAGGCCAGTAAAATGGATGAACATCGGGGGGAATCGCATTTGGTGCGACGGTGTAATGAGTGCGTCACTCAGCCCTGCTGTGCCTGTGGTCAGCTACTGTCCCTGACCGCCTTTTCGGGGAGTCAGATGCTGCGACCACAGGGCAGCCGTCGTTGCAGACCCTGCACTCTGGAGACATGGTGGTGTGACCGGTGCTGCAAGCCCAAGGCAACCACGGAATTTTCCTCCTTCCAAGCCCGAAAAGGGAAGCAAATCTCCAAGGTGTGCCGAGGCTGCGAGAAGAGCAACCCTTATTTCGACCGGCGCCATGTTGTTTGTGCCATCTTCAGTGGCAAATTTACAGCTCCTCCATGGCGTTTGCCTTGCCTATCCAAAGAAATCCTGATGTCCATCTTGAGCTTCGCCAAAGAGTCCAAGTTCATAACCATCAATGGCTCAAGTTACAGCTGCAGTTTGTGTAACAAGACCAAATCCTTCCTGGCCAACGCTGGGGAGGATGCCGTGGAACGGCATCTCCGCACATCCCAGGTGCATGCCAAACGCCTCAGGAGCTTGGAGGCGGGTCATTTGGTGGAAGTGGCCAACTCTGGGGTGGAGCTGGACCGCTTCCGGGATGGCTTGGGACTCAAAGCAGCCTTTTGTGGAATGGACCAAGTGAAGGAAGCAGCCAGTCTCATTGATCTTTGGAGTGTGCAGCCAGTCTCAAAGCTCCTTCCCTTTCTGCGGCATGTTGGATGCCGAGAATCCGACTCAGGACTTCGATGGGCATCGCCTGAACAATTTGAGAAGCTGAGGGGTGATTTCAGCCACTTTTCCTCTTTTGCATTTTCTCCAATAGTTCTGATACCTATATAATCCCATTATATATATAGACCATCTATTAGACCTTCATATGTTTCAGATGGGTAGGTCAACTACTACCAACCAGGAAGGCTTGTGGACTGATGGAAGCCTCACATTCCGGACTCGAAGGGGACTTCTTTGCCAGCGCATCCATGCAAGACGTGGCGGAAGCAGAGGAAAGAGCACTGCAACAGAAACGCACCAAGGTGAAGATGCTGTTCCATCCAGGTGGGGGTCCCCTCACTTGGGATGGTGGGATAAGATAAGATGACTGAGTAAATGTGGAAACAAATATGTTTCACACCTGAACTTGGATGCGTTGGATGGCCATAGCGCGTTGTGGCTGCTAGATTCTAGACACTACAACAGAATACACAGACATACACAGATAGTCAACCATCATTTATGGACCCGTTTGACCGCCATGTTTGATCATTTGAATATTACACCCACCATGCCGCCAGGTGGAGATTCAGATGGCTCAGATGAAGACGAAGAGACCGTTGCACTTCGACATTTCTTAGCCCGCTGAGACGCTTTCTTTGGCGACTCTGCCCCTCAGGGCCCATAAGCTCAACTTGCAGCACTTCCTCACGCAGATCGGGTGGAACTGAGAGACCGCAAGGGACATCAAGGGCAAGAACTAAGACGAAGCAAGAGCGTGGGCAAAATGAAAGTTCCTGTCTAAGATGGTTGCAATCTGGGAGCAAACCCGGGGCAAAAGAAACTCTTTTCCAACCTTTATTGAGTGTCTGATGGTGCACCGCTAGACGCAATTTGTGCTTGCTACTATTTCAATATAGTGCATTGCCATATACAAAGCAAATCTATTTATAGCGACGGAGTGAAAGATAGAATGACCGTTTGGCACCGCGCGGGAATGAAGATAGAGACCGGGATTCCCCGACGGAGCCACGCATTCTAACTGTTGAAGATAGAATGCGTCCATAGTAACAAGACCACATGTCAAGTAGAATATAGATAGTAGAATCAAAGAACTTGGAGTTTTAGTCCATAGAACTTAGCGGCATTTCTGGTTGTATCTGGCTGGATTGGGGGTCACTTTAGAGAGAGAGAGAGAGAGCTAGCAAAAGCATGTATCCGGCAAGTTAAGTGAGTTGGCAAGTGACGGGGTCTCACTCCAGAATTCCCTTCTGAACAGCTACCCCCAGGTATGTTCCCACTTGTATGCCTACCACTTGAATGCGTGGCAGCCGCGTGCAATCCCGGTCTCTCTCTTCATCCCCGCACGGTCCCAAAGGGTCATTCTATCTTTCACTTCGTCGCTATAAACATATTGAAACCCAACATCGATTGAAGGATCTACAAAAATCATCCAAGTGCTTTTGAGTCAAAAAGGAAAATAGAGTTTGGAGTCCTTACAAACGAGTTTGCAAGCACCAGCACGAACCAAACAATATGTACACGCATCTTCTGCCGACATATGTACGCATGCATGCAATTCTATGGGCATTCTATCTGTGGAATGACTGTGCACTGGCGGTGTGAACTCTTCCGACGTGTTGACAAGAAAAAGGGGCAAGCCTTGATTTGGAATCCTTTCAAACAAGTTTGCTAGCACCAGCATCAACCAAACATTATGTACACACATCTTCTGCCCACATATGTACACATGCGTGCAAATTCTATGGGCATTCTATTTGTGGAATGACTGTGCACTGGCGGTGTGAACCCTTCCGACGTGTTGACCAGAAAAAGGGGCAAGCCTTGATTTGGAGTCTGTGGTAACTAGCTTGCAAGGAAACAAGCACTCAAGCAAAGCAAAACACACGCTCACAGACCCTGGCAAACGATGATCCACTCACATCATACCTCTTGTGGAAGCACCATGCCAAGAGTGTGTTTATTTGAATGAATATACGTGTCTACATGTGGCGTGTCCTGAGCCGGACCACCAGCAGAGGGTGACCAAGTTGTCAGCTGTGAGTGTTGTTTCTGTGGATATTGTCTATCAATTCTAGAAATTTATGCGCCTATATATGTGTGTTTTGTGTGTTTTCCTTTTTGTATATATGTGATTATATATGTGCATATTCAAAAGTATGTCAAATGTATGTGCATTCTATCTGTGTTTTGACTGCTTATTCTCAGTGGAACTCCTTTCAAAATGGTTCCCCAAAATGGGGCATTCTAAGCGGTGGCATTCTAAGACTATTTCAGGCGCATTCTATCTTCGGGGAATAATGATTTGGGATTCGCCACCCCATTCTATCTTTCACTTCGTCGGTATATCTAGCAGCATTTTTGGGCAACGGGGAGTGGGAATGAGTGGGAGCAGATGATGAGGCAACAGATTTTATCTCTGTTTTTTCAGGTCCTGTGGCCATGTCCGAGCTTGGCTACTGGCAGGCTGGGTGCAGCAACGCTGGAGAGAAGTGACACTGGACACAGCTGTGAAACACCTTGGTGAATTGCAGGGAAACGTGTCACTTTCTGAGCCACGCCACAAATGGAGACATGTCATTATGCCAACGGTGATTTTTTCTTGCGCTCAGTATCAAGGCGTTAGGCCTCAGCCTGAATTTTTTTCTTTGGTTAACTGGCTCACCCTTGGCCAGCCGACCTGATGGCCATCATTGATGGTCGCTTGACGGTTTGCTCCAACTTTGCAGCGGCTTCGATTACATTTGACTACCATGCGAACAGCATGACTGGTCCTTCGTGCGTCGTTTGTGGTGGTGCCATTCGAGATGGCAGGGCCGCTGCAGCGATCGATTTGGACAACCATGAAGCGGTGTGCCAACTTGCAGCTGATCCAAGGCATGGAGAAGCACTTTGCTGCCATGTCATGCACACATATTGCGCGGAGTATCTGACGGAATCAGCGTGTCCTGGATGTGTGGAGGATGACTCCCGTGCCCTGACCCCACCAGCAATTACTCGCATCGGCTTCGACGTTGGGGGGGTCATCGTCAGACACCGGGAGGAGAGGGACCTGGAGAGCGGCGTGGACACAGCAGGACTCATGGGAGCTGACTACTTGCATGCAGAGGCGACAGTCGGTGCGCTGGATACACTCGCAGAGGTCGTGAAAAGCCTTGGGAGCGAAAATGTGCACATCATCTCCAAATGTGGGCCAGAGACTGAAGCCAGGACACGTGGGTGGATGGAATTCTCTGCCTTCTTTGAGAAGACAGGGATTCAAAGAAAAAATGTACACTTCTGCAGGGATGTCAAAGACAAGGCCCCACTGGTAGCCCAGCTGAAGCTGGATGCCTTCATCGATGATCGGATTGATGTACTGAGGCCAATGCTGTCTCTAGCTGCAGTGCGGCCTATTCTATTCATGCCTAAACAAGAAGCAGGGCAATCGGCAGAGTTTTGGATACCAAGGATCGAAAAACTGAAAGGCTGGGAGGGTGTGCTTGCACTTCTGGAAACGCGCAGCGGCAGGGTCGCGGCACCGAGGGTTTGAAAGCACACGGCACTTTGGAGACATGAATCCGACTCACGGCACGGCGCTAGCACACGTCTCGGAGCAAGTCCTTCAATGAATGCCATGGCGCCAAAGCTGGCGCCGAGATGTACAGTTCAATGTACAGAAGAAAAGGATCTGCGCTTAGCCATGGCAAATAGTTCAAGGTTAGGAGCTGAAGCCGTAGAAAAGTTATTTTCGTGACATGCAATTGGCACTTTCTCCTCCCAGCATGGCCATGAGCCATGGCCATGGCCATGGAGACCTCCCATAGATCAAAACGGGTGACGTCATGTCTTGCGCCAGGTGAAGTTGAAGAGCGTGAAGATTGGCAATCAGGTCCGTAACTGCGCGATATCCCAAACAGATCCAAGATGTCTCAGGAAACATCACCAACAAACAGCAGAAAACGCTGGAGGTACTTGGGGATGAACCACCAAATGGGACCCATCGGAGGTGGTCGAGGAATGCCAAGATGGAAGTTGTTGGGTGATTTTAGATACCGGCACCTCCTTGCCCAAAGCTTAGGGGTGTCATGCGGTGCCCCATTGACTGATCACCCTTTTCTTTACACGGCAGGTTTCATCAGGAAAATGATGATCAACTGATAAAGCATCAATTTTGAGCTATTGAACTGGTCATGCTTCCAGGACGTTTGTTTGACGCCAGACAGCCTGCTCCTACGCACTGCTCCAGGTTTTAGTGAAGATCGGAGCTTGGCTCCGCTTTTCGAAGCGAATCAACTGCGATGTGGCACTGTGGTGTGGGCAACCTTGGTTAGGCACGCCTATATCAGCTCTTTGCAATCTTGTGTCAGACGCAGCAGCATGCTGACCCATTTCAAAAAGCAATAGACAGACTTCACCCACACCCATGTGGAGCTTTATCGTGCAGCGGTTTTGGTGAAAGCTTAAAGCGCTTTCCTGTCTAGCAGCCAAAAGCGGTGTCTGGTGCTAAGTCCCCAAGCGCATCGCTGGCAGTGCTGAGTTTAGCTCCCTCAGCCGTTAGGACATTGCGCCAACTTGTACAGGGTCTAGTAGGCGCCCTCACTGCTGACGGCAAGCTTGAGGTGTGATCCAAAGTTGCTTCAAAGTTGAGGTATTCGCTCTTCGCATGAGACTAAACCACAATTTCATTGTTATAATTCATCGGTATTCAAAATCATAGGTATCATTAGATCGTGCAGCAGCACAACGTGCGAGCTCCAAGCTTGAACTACACTCGCCACACTGCCTGCGTGGGGTCCGCTGCATTTGGCTACGCATTTGACACGAAGTCTAGGAGTCTAGGGGTCTAACGCACAGTAAGAAATGCTGACTCCCAACCTCAAATGTCTGAGATTCACAGAAGAGAGCCCCGAGCCGGCAAGGAAGGCAACGAGGACCATCACGCATTTCAAGCATGTTTTGCCATGGACATCCAGGAATCAGACCTCATTCTGTGACCGGACAAAAGCATCAGTTTCATTTTTCACCACCTTTCACTGTCGGTGTCGGGCACGGAGAAACTGCCTCGCCTGTGAGGAAGCCGTGTCGAGCCAAGATTGGAGAAATCCAGGGAGGTTGGATCACCGGAGGTTCTGGTTTTTGTGACCAAGCAATTGTTTCCAAGCGGTGATTTTGAGAGGCTGTTGCCTGTCCCGTGACGCACATGAATGAACATCCATTCAGGGGGGGCCCTGTCCCATCCTGTCCCTTTGCGGGCCCGAGGTTTGCCTCATCCGGGGGGAGACCCGTCTGAGGCCTCATGACTGACGAAGGGGAGGCCGTGTGTGGCGATGCCGCGACGGCGGTCCGATGGTTGGAGTGCGACTCTGCCCACCGTCGTGTGGAGTGGCCCCAACTTCACTGGTCTTTACAGGTCTCTTCTACTCTCTTTATTGCTTGATTTCTATTAACATATATTTAAAAACTATTTAAATCATTTTGAATCGCGTATGTCCTTTATTGTAACATGACTACACTTGCTTTGGTCTTCTCCGACCTTGCCTCCCTGGTCACTGCGTTTCTCAATTAGCTCTCTTGCCCTACACCCTGCTTCCCTGCAGCCATGAATTCTTGTTGGACGCCGCCTCACCTCAAAAAATAATACACACATCACATACCTTATATCTTCTCAAAGACTGTCATTGAACTGCTAGACCTTCAACCCCTCACTCAACTGCTCCTCTTCCAAATAAGGCAGGGCAGCTCAGTATTCCCTGAGCTATCAACAAACTTTCGCCCATTGCCCGTAAACAAACAGGTTATCCTCCTTCACTCACCCGCCGAGATGGAGAAGAAACATCAGCTGTGATGGCTTTGGGCGATCCACCCCTGGCGAGAGCCGCCAGAGTCATGGGGAATTATATAAAAGAAGTCGATGGCAGGCAAATCTCACGGAAGAGAGGAATCAGATCAAGCAGCTACAGCTACTTGGACGACTAGAAGCGCTGATTGATGGGGCTTTCTTCTACTACTTGGCTCTAGCCACCAGATTCCTGAGGGAGTGAGGGATATGTCGCGATGTGTGACGTTCTTCTACTCATTGGTTAGTGGCGTGTGAATGAAGAATCCTTCAAGTTTTTCCGAGTCTCCGAAGGTGGTTTCCATTATGAGTGGTCAGTGGTTGGAACTCACGACATGGTCCGAAGTGCACTATCCCTAGAGTCCTAGAGCTTCCACATGTTTCAACCCAACCACACGGATGAAGCGTATAGACGATAGAGTCCAGGACGTGCTAGATCCTTACTACCTGGAGCCTTCGATAGGGAGGGTGAAGCTTCTGCCACAGCCAGCTCCCCTAAAAGGCGCCCTCCGCAGTCCGCTCTTTTGCTCGGTCTGAGGAGTGACTTAGCGCGGAAGCGAGAGCAGCTCGATCGCCTGCGTCAGCGGAAGGTGGCCTTCGATGTCCGGTGGCCCGGTAGCCACGTGGCCTTATCCAGTGGATGGGCTTGACGAAGGAGTTTGGCGAAGTCTAGGATGACTGAAGGTGTGGAGGACTGGTGCAGGTTTTGGTCCGTGACACCCTCAGTGGCCAAAGGCCGATGTGGAATTGATCTTCAGTTTAGACCTCTCGGAGGCACTGTAAGGCCCGCCAGTGGCGACCTTGCCCATGGAGGTGGAGCGAAGATTGGTCCCCCTCTCACGGTTTTTGAAAGCTCACTTGTGCCTCAGCTGAGTCAATTTTACGGATTGAAAGAATGAGGTTTCCAACATCCAAAACATCTATGGGACTAGGATTGTGAACTTGTGGGAATCGAACTCCTCGGAATTTCATGGAATCGCCCTTCTCTTTTGAGACGAGCTGCTCCAGCTGATGGAATCCCAGGATGAGCTGAAGCAACGCTCACAGGAGCTTAATAGTGTCAAGGACTGAGCCTTCAGCATGCGCCGGCACCGAACACCGATGAACACCGATGAACCTCCGAACCACTCCGAAAGGCGGTTCCCGAGTCTCCGCAGACGGAGAGGATTGACGGATTGACGTCGAATTTTGTGAATCAAACGCATGCAGTTACTACTAGTAACAAGTGCCACGCTAGTAGTAACAAGTGCCTTACTAGTAGTAACAAGAAGCTATTAATTTAAATGTCGCAGCAATGGATGCTGATGGACAAATGTCCGACTTTCCAAAGCCAAAGGGATCGTTATTCACGTGTACAAGGCTGCATTTTTGGGGTGTGACTCTGCTGCATTGTCAGCATATGACAATATAAGTACAATATGAGTATCTTCGGATATGACGTCAACATCGCTCACCAGGAGGATCACCGGTTTGCTCAGAAGAAGCCCGGGGCTCCATGGACTCGACAGGGCCTCCGGTCCGGTCGTGCTTGGAGTGGGGCCTTGTATTTGAAGTTGCTGAAGGATTATTGCCATTTATTGCCATGAAGTGTTCCGAAGTGTTCCGAAGTGTTCCTTGTTTTGGAAGTGATGTGTCCTATTGTGTGGTTCATGGACCGTGCCTGTTTCTTTTTTGGCGAACCCTGCTGAGCCATGTCAGCTGTCTAAGGGCACAGAAGGCTTCCCAGTACGATGCGTCGCAGAAGACGGCCGGGGTGCAAGCTCGGCGTGCGCATGGTGGGTGGGTCTCTTGTTTGCTGGGCTCAAACCTGGGATCGCATCAGCGTTGCACCATTTTCCTCAAAAGTCGAGGGTGAACAAAGCAGTTTCTTACTGTTTGGTAGAGTTTGGTGGTTCTTATTCTACCTTATTATCTTTTTTATTCTATCTGTTTCTAATCATTTACAGAAGACTCTTGCACTCTATAATCAGCATGATCGCCCTTTGAGAAGGAGGCCCGTCACAAACTTTACGGCACGTTCCACTAGTGTTCTTTGCATAGTTGTTGAGGATCCGCTTGGATTCGCACCCATTCCATTTTGACTGGATAATGCTACCACGATGCAACTTGCGAAACTCATGCTTTCAACTCGATACATCCTAGCCGGACACGACCTGAGTGAGATGCGGATCTAGACGAGAATCGAGGATTTGGCAGGGATTCCTATTGACCCAAACATCGGGCCCAGGGGTGGAATTCTATCCAGGTTTCACGAAAAACGATCACAGGTTTTTACTGAAAGAGCAACAGCTGCAGAAAGACTGAAAGCGAGAGCGAGCAAATGCTAGCTATCGCTTTTGCTGTTATCATCTTTTATCCCCCCAGGATTGGCTACGAGCCCGCCCGAGAAAAAGACGTTTGGAGGACGAGTTGTCCTTGGTTTGTTTCGCAGGCGGAGGCGGAGAGTCACTTCATGAACGAAGAGGTCAAGCGCTTCTTGCAGGTCAAGCGCTTCTTGCACCGGGGTGGGTTCGGAGCGGCTGTGGAATGGTTCGGTGCGTTCGATGGTGCCAGTTGTGAAGATCAACACGGATAAACACACAGCAAAACGATGGTTGGTTTAAAAGAAGGTCATCGATTTGGAGTTTTGGAGAACAGGGGTCCCCAGGCCTCTTTGATTGAAGCGAAATCTTGGAGATGGAGAGCATCTACCAAGCTCAACAAGTTGAACGAATCTACCCGCCATTCTTACCATTCTTAGTTGCGAAACGACGTGGGTGGCATGGCATGCCACCTGTCGAGGACAAGACACTCTTTGGGTTATGTTCAACAACACAAAACCATGCCATGGATGAGACACTCTTGTATTTCTTTTTCAGCTGAGCCAGTTATTTTTTACTTTTTGTCCTTTTGCACGGCCAGCAAGCGAGATTTCAGAGATTCTCGATTGTTCGGACTTCAATGCCTTGGTGTTGCCCGGGGCCTGTCTGTGGTGAGTGCGGGGCCCGCCCTGTGCCGCCTGTGCGGCCGCCTGTGCCGCCAGGAAAGGATACCCTCCTTGGCCCCACCGCAAGAAGAGCCGGAGAGCGTGGATCAAGGTGGGGGCAGCAACACTGACGCGACAGGACTGACTTGGATTTTGGGATGGGACATTCTGAGGATTTGAGAGGACCAGATTGACCCAATTGACATTCTCAGCACACTTTATCAACCTTCACTCAACCCATGCCTACAATGGTGCAGCCCTCGTTTTCACAGAGTTTGGTGGCTGCGGTTAAGCAACGCGAATCACACAATGCCCATCTCGTGCTGGGCCTGACCAGACGGACGCTTAGGGCCTAAGGGAGGGGGCCTTTATGTTCGTGGTGATGTCAATGATGAGACTTTAGCATCTATATATGTACTAATTAGTAGAACTAATGGATTGCACCCAACGTATCTGAAGGCGTCCAGAGCTGTTGTCTGCAGAGGCTAAGGGGGCCACTCCATGGTCAGTTCCACTTGGGGTGCATTCCATGATCGGCAACCTGCACAAGATCGACGAATTCGTTTCAGCTCCGGAGGCATTGCTGAGGTGGACGTCACACAGGGCGAGGAGCGGTGCGAGCGGCAGTGGGGAAGGGTGCTCCGAACAAGCTGAAAAGGATGAAAACAGGGCGGGATGCCTACTGGCATCATCTATATGCCATGGCCCTCCTGTGTAAACCCACAGCAGAACTGTTGTACGATGTTGGAGTTGTACTGACACCCTGGCCTGATAGAAGAACTTAGAGGACACATATGATGGTCTTGGGTGTCGACGCTGGTGATTTTTCCATGTTCAATGTTGTTAGGTAGATCTCTTTGGGTGTCATCACCCAGTCTGTGAGATCGAGTCCTATTACCCACCCCGAGTCCGCGAGTACGGGAGTCCGCGAGTGGAAGGAAACGAGAGACGAGCCGAACTAGAACAACATGTAAATCACCTGACAGATGGTGTATTCAACATCGTTTGGTTCTGGACGAATGGACCACCAAAAATACGTCTTCTTCAAGATTGTTCAAGGGTAACATTTGAGCGGTTGCAGGGTTGTTTGGACTACCGAGAAGCAAAATGCCATGGACGAAGATCGGCCACTCAATGCAATCGAAACAAAGGTTCCCTCAACTCACCCAGCCACGGGAGTTCTTTCGAATTCTTCAGGGTTTTCCTCAGAAAACTTGAGGTTGAACGTTGTATGTTGCAAACTCGATTTAGTTGTTGGATGTTGTGACAGTTGTTTGATCCTTTTCTCCAGTTTTCTCCAGATTTCTCCAGGATCCCAGCAAGAGCTTGCATGACACTGTGCTGGTGAGCGTGGAGCTCAAGAATGACCGGAAGAACCACCGGTGGTCAACCGCCTCGACTGGTCGAACGAGAATCCTGACCCGAGTGGAGAGAGGATGGAGGTAGATGGTGTCAGTACATAACGGGATCATAGCAGCGATGCCAGGGGCCCCCAGTAGCTTCTTGCTCCTAAGGGTCTGTCAAACGATGGAGATTGCAATCCTCAAAAAGCACGTCAAATTCGCTCTTTGGCCCGGTGCTCCGTCCTTTGCGAAGCCCAATTCTTTTATGCGACTTCGAGAGGGAGGGAGAACTGCCCGAAAAGCGTAGCCTTTGCACGTTGGCTGGCGGACAAACGACGTGAACTGGCCATCCATGTCGCTTGCATTTCTAGCGTTGCAAGTGTTGCTCAGTCGCATCCCGAGGCTACGTGAACTTTTCCGGAGACAAGAAGGATGAGGACTACAAGGTCGGATCAAAGAGCTGAACGCTCCTTCAGATGATCAGAAAGCAGCTGCTACGTAGAAAAGAGCAAAGACCCTCCGGAAAAATGGTACGTTGACATCCCCTGGGAGTCCGTATTAAACATGTTTTTCCGCCAGGGTTTGCTTTTGGGGCTCCGATCCGGAGTCCCTCGGGTTTGTCGGGTCTCTCGGGGTCCCATGACTTCGACACACACCGACGGACGGTCGGATGATCACCGACGGACGGTGGTGCCGTGAGACCCCGTTCCGGCCAGAGAATGACCAGACATGACCGAATGCCCTTCGCTTGGATCTAAAACCTGGCAGTCAGCTCCACCTCGTTCTAACAGGCCCAACGACCCCCATTTCGCGTGGGACACACTCGACCGTGCGTGGTGCGTGGCAGCCGAACGGCTCTCAGGTCTCCTACCGGATCGACCACTCCATCACGGTGGCCGACTTGTTGAAAGACGCCTGCAACTACTGGGGGTCCTGGACCAAGACCAAACCACACTGGGGACCGGTAAGACTCTGGGTGGGGCACAGACGGGAATGCTTTAGGTGAAGGGAGCATGTTGGACTGACCGAACTCCATCTTACAGGTGGTTTTCAGAATTTGGTGCTGTGATGGTATCGTTCGGGTGACCGTTTTTTCTTTATCCATCCTGAGAAGTTCTTTTTCTTAACAGGAATGCGTGCCTGGTGCGCTGGTTGCACAGAGGACCAAGAACCCAACCATCACCGCAGCTCTCGAAAGCAGTGGATCCAAGTCTCTTGCAAAGCCTACAGTGTTTTGCATGATCAAGAACACTTTCACCTTACAGTGGGTGACGTGGGTGTATTATCTCTGTATGCTTTGAGGTAGCCCTGGAGCCCTCAGTCTACAGCAGCGTGTAGTCATGTCCAAGGTGCTCGAGGCATGACTACACTCTCTGCAAGATTGAGAACGAAGAGCCCAAGGACCGTCTTCTTCGAACGAAGGGCGCCGTTCAACGACGCCCAAGGTCTGTCGTCTTTTCGAGCGTCTATCCTCGGACCATGTTCTTGATGTGGTCGCGCAGAAGGGTCAAATTGATGTCAAAGTGTCTCATTTTGAGAGCGAAGAGTAGTATGGACATGGTTGCAATACCCAGGTGGCCCATGTGCTTCAGTTCATTGCACCAACCAGTTTGTCTCTATCTACCATCGAAAAAAATCAAGGCTCCTCTCCTCTCCACCCGGGTGAGCTGCGGATCACCAGAACCTCGAGCACTTCATGGATGATTTCCTTCAGAAGGATCACATCTTAAGCCCACAAGAGAGGCCCTGGGCTGAGTGAACCGGATCTCTTTCCAGTGAAGTCTGGAGCTGCATGGAGCTGCATGGATGTCAGATCAAGCCGGGGTGCGAAGACCAGGGGCTTTGAAGAGTTGGGGCTCCTGAACCATGCACTGGAAGTCATTCTGACCTTGCTGTGCGCAATTCTTTGCACCAGGTCTGTGTTGTTGAGAACTTTTGTTGGGCATTCATGAACATATTGTACAGATCCGATGTAGTTGTAGATATTTTCCAAATCGATGACCTTTTGTTGACCAGCATCCTTTGGTTGAACTCCCACAATTCCAAGTTAGCCTCTATTCTGGGTGATCGCCTTTTGGGCACCCAACGCCGGACCTGCACCCATGCACACACCGCCGCGTGCCACGCCAGTTCTCATCTGCATTTAGTGCGGAAGAGCGACATGATCCAATTCCAGGCGATGTCGGTCGTCTTCGTCGCGATGTTCGTCGCTTCTCGCACCGGTCGTTGAAACGACCGGTCGGCCTCGGCGTGAACATCGAGGAAGTTTCGTCGAACACCGAGGAAGTGCTGAACGGTACGACTTTTGGGATGGGATGATCGTATTTATGAAATTAGAGGTGCAGCTTCCGTTATGACTGATTATACTGGTTTCACCGCAAATGGCTGTTGGCTGTGGGGATAGCTGAGCCAATATAGTGTAGGCCGCAGGCTCTGATTGGAGCTCGAACTCAATGGTTGAACTGAATTCTACCTCTTTACCACAAGCCCTGCCAGAATGATCATTGGTCACAAGGGGAAGCAGACGGTCAGCTGAGCCAAAACTGTGCATGGGCCATCCCTCAAGCACATTATTCAGCAAGCATCAAAAGCAAAAGTATGATCACAGGTGTTTGCCCAAGGGCCCAAGTGGTTTGTCAGCCCATAACGAGCTTCATGTATTTCTATCTTCCCATCTTTGGGTCTTTGAGCTCTTCCCATCTTTCACACACAAACAACCACGAGAAAAACATGCGGCGTGTCTGATGAGGCCACCCACGAGCGGCGGCAGAAGGACAAGAAGGGCGAGGCAGATCTTCGGGGATCGGTTGCACAGACGATCACTCGACCGAAGACACGTGAGCTCGACGGCCATGTACACCCAACCAAATACGACTGTTTACAGTTTACGATGTATGTCCTATATCATTATTGATGTTCCGAATGCAGAATGGTGAGATTCAGAGGAGTAGCCTGCCTCCATGAGTATTGGCAGAAAACCACACGGTCCAAGAATCTCCTTGGCTGCAAGTAAGCCTAAACCTTTCTTGTTACGTGGCAAGATAAATCGTCATTAAAGAGTCTCAAACCCGCTGTCAGCAGATATCCCATACCTGATCTCCCAGCTTGAAGCGGGTAGACGGGTAGACTGACTGGTCCTGGTCATCGCCTTGATAGACCGTCTGACACCCAAACCAGAACAGAAAAACCGGACACCGCATACACAAGTCTTGCCGTGGATGAATGCCATCAATGGCTGCCCTGGGCTCTCCAAATCCACCAGTGAAACGGTCGACTGACACCTGTGGCATCCTCACGAAGTGTGGGTCTCCGTGGCTTTTCTGAGCATCGTTGGTTGCGACGTCACAGCGGCTCTGGGTCGAAGTGGTGGCGGCACCGTTCGCCAAAAGACTCGTCCCCCCGGTGGGATGATCCGTTTGTCGCACAGGAAGGAGGGTTGGGAGGACGTGAAATGAAGGACGACGCGTCTTTTCTTATTTTTTAAAGGGGGGTCTGCTCTGGATGAAGAATGCCAAAAACCAGGAGAGACAATGAGAGACAGTGCCATTGGCATAAGTATTGTGGGAGACTTAGGACAGTAACAAGCAGGAAAATCCTCTGGTCTAGGAAACTTTCTTGCAGAACTCCATGAATTTTGACCTTCTAATCGACTCTCACTCCGTCGGCTCGACCGCAGGCAGAGGACCTTCCTGATGAGGCAGGTCCGTTTGGGCTAACAGTGGCAGAATGAGACATGTGAGAGACAATCGCTGAACATACTCTGACACATGCAGCTGGTGCAAGTGGATGTGCCCCGTGAAGAGAGTGAACGAAAGACTCCGAACTGCATGGTTCGGGTTCCCTGGTGGAAGATTGATTGGTGGCTGGTGGTGTGTAGTCGATCTGAACACGCCAGCCACAGAAGTTGAAGTGATTGAAAGCGCCAAACAACCTCCTCCCAGCTGAAATGTCGCATGCAGGCGAAGCCAACACGTGACATTTCCCCACATGACCCACATGGGCCCGAAACATTGTTTTGGCCCATTGACAGAACGATGAACTTGAAGAGCCATTGGTTGGGTCCGGAATCAGTTTGATCAGACAGCCCTCCCCTCTGTTTGCGTGAAAGCCATGCGCATCCCTCTGTCAGCCTTGCTGCACATGGCTTTCTCGAGCGGCTCTGCCAGGGGAAGAAGCTCATTACCTTGAAGCACGGCTTGGGCAATGCCACAGCACAGACACCGAGATGTGGTGGTTGGAGAAGTTGTAATGTGGACAAAAATACGATGCAAAGGGAGACCGGATACTACCGGAAGCAACACAGATCTTGATGCAAAAGCTCTGCCGGCTCCCTTTGGACCAAGGCTGAGCATGTCACAGAGCCCTTCGTGGAAGCTCTGAAGCCTTGGCCTGGGGTCCGGGCTCCCAGAATGCTCAATTCAGTCATTAAAATGATGCTCCAAATTCCAGATCCACAAAAGGACTGTTGGTTAGCTTATAGTTTTGATTAGTTTTGTATCCTCCAATGTTGCAAGCAAAGTTCGATGCTTGGCTGAAGTTCCGTGTGCGGGGTGGGGGATTCTGCTTGTGAGGTCGCACGGGTGGTAAATGATGGGGTGACCGTCGGTGACCGTGGTGAAATGGCAACCCTCATGAACATGGCCGATCGTCATCCAAGCAGCTGTGAAGTCCATGTGCCCCTGGCGATCCCTGGCGGAACTGAGTTGACTCGGTTTCCCTGCCTTTCTGGAAACCTCTGTTGCACGTGAGGCAAAGCCGATAAGAAAGTACTGCGTACCTGGCTGTGCTAAGGTCTACAAGATGCTCAAGAAAAGGAGAAGGCGCGGCAAAATTAACTAGCAGTTGCAGAGAGGATCACTGGTTGAAAGCAATTCTTGGTCAGCCAGTTCTCCCAAATTGGATAGCTCCCAAAGAATTGAAGGCTCAATGACTCAAAGGATATGGCGAATCCAGCAATTGGTTGGGTCCGGGTACGGAGCTTTGAGCGAGGAAACACGACACGCAGAAGTGGCTCAGAACTCGTGTCAGCATCTCAGAGTGGGAAGCGCTTGAAGACATCTCAAGGGTCTTGATACCATGCCCCCCTGAGCCCCCTGCTTACACCCCACCAAAAACACCTTTCAGAAGTCATGTTCAAGAGAGTCCCTTCGTTCGTTTTCCTGGCTCAGTTCGCCGACTTCATGATCTATGGCATCATGATCATCTTCAGCCTGTCGCCTGCTCACCTAGCAGCCTTCGTCTTTCACGAGCGGTCCGAGAAGATGCACGCCAAATGGCAACGTTTGGTTTTCGGCTGGTGCCGTTTGCTTGGGAAGCAAAATCGTACTTGGGAAGCAAACTCGTAGAACCCACTGAGCATACCCTCAGAATCGTAATCACACACTTAGATATCATTTGTACTGTGAAGGTAGTGGCCGGCCTGCTATATACAATGCTCAAATAGTGTTCTTCCAGAGTGTCAGGGGAATGCATACATTTCCATAAATTCCAAAGTGAAACCATTTTGGTAGTGGGGCACCTCTGCCCCGCTCAAAATCTGCTTGCCTTCTCGGCATTGACATGTTTCTTTTTTTGCTAGGACAACCACTCGAAGACATTGGTTTCTATCATGGCCCAATGCAACATCACCTGCATCAAGGTGTTTCTTCCTCAGATCCGAGCTGGAGAATTACCTCCTCCGGTCGGAAGCTGAGTACTGGCTCTCTCCTTGGCGAACCGGCATCGAACGGAGCGATGCGGCACCAGAGGACTCTCTTGAGGACTCTGGACTGTATCTCCAGATACCCTGTCGATACTGACTGAGTCGATACCTAGTTTCTTTCCTTTTTCCAGGACTCAGGAATGGACTCAGAGATTTTGAAACTTCGTAAACCCTGCATGTAGAGAGCCGCTCTGGACTCAAATTGGAATTCGGAGCTCTAAGAGGGATCAAGAGGGATTAAACAAACTTTTCTTTCGGGTCACCGGTGTTGTATGTGGTCATACAAGGAACCATCGTGAACATACTACTATTCCACAGGAAGCAAGCAAGTGATATTGACGTTCTGACCACCAATATTAATTTTCGATAGGATCCACCCTTCTTGACGGGTATAGAAGGACACACGTCATCACAGGTCACTTGCCGCTCAGCCAAGGCTGGGAGTACAAACAGCACTTGTCGATGGTCTCCCGAGCCAGACGAGCACTGGAGTTGGCTCTCAGTTTCCCACGGGGGAACAGTGACATGGAATGTGGCGAAACACTGGAACATGGCCACTGCAACACCAAAGAAGGCCACACTCGGAAGAGATCAAGTCCATTCAAGTCCTTTCAATGAAAGATTCCTTGACACTGGGTTGATTCATTGGATTTGGGGATGGTCCAGGTCAAGAGGAGGCTCTACTGAGACTCTACGATCATGCCATACCATGACCGTTTGCTAGACCCACTGGCAGTGTGATGCCGAGGTTGGATAGATTTGTGTACAAGTGTCCTTGTCCAAGGACATCAATTCAGCTATACAAGTGAAGCAGTTTCCATCTTGATTGTTTTGATCAAATGCACAACATGTTGTTTCGAGGAAAACGGATGGCCAGGGCCCTCCATCAAGGAGTTTGAAGGCCTTCCTTGTTATATAAGTTGTTCAGCCAACTGCAGGATTGGGCGATAGCAACTCGTATCATGGCAAACCTTTCAAGAAGGCTGATGGCACCTTTAAAGTAAATGTTCCCGGCCTGGCTACTCTTACTTTGGGCCCAGCCAACACTTTGTTGCTTGTAGGCCCGTGCCCATCAGTTGTACAATCATTGTACCCGGGCTTCTGTTCATGCACCTCCAGAACAGGCCTTCATCAGCATGAGGGATGTAACGACCGTCCCGATCGCTGAGCAATACCTGAATGGGCATCGCCCTCAGCTTGCGCTCTTCTGCCTACCCAGGAGTTCAGTGAATCCCACTGAACAAGAACAGGCGGAACAAGGTTAACCAATATTTGTCAGGGAAACTGGGGAATTCAGAAAAAGATGCCTCTACCCAGAACCTTAAGGATTTCTAGAAGCCATCCCTCGGATGTTGAGGGGTCTTTGTTTACCACCAATGCTTCTCAGTCTTCGATGATTGAGCCCTGCGCGAAGATGCAAGGGCAGTTCAGATGAAGTGGGTAACAATCCTTCAGTTCAACTCGATGAATCCAGCCAACTCTCGTGGAATTGGATAGTGTATCAAGCTCATTGGTTTCTTGACCTCAAGTGAAGCAACGCCTTGACCGTGGCCGTGAGACCTTCAACAGTCAGTATGGATGGATTGACACGTGACACGTCTTCTCTAAAGATGATTTTCCTTCATCTGTTATAAAGTCTTAAATCTTAATATATCTATATATTGGTTTATGCATGACCACGTCCTAAAGTCCATTTCCCCTCACTAAGTGTATTCGTTCAATCTTTATCGCTTCATGCCTCCGTTGCGTCACGGGTGAACCATCAGCTTGAGCCGTGGTGCCAACCAAGGCCTTTCGACTACCAGCTCTTCAACCCCAACTCGACACTTCGGAAGTTCTACACCCCTGCCATGGACTCAGCGAAGAGAAACGGACGTATTTGGCGGTGCACTTCGTTCAGCTGGGCGAAAACAGAAGGAAAGGTCTCTTTGAACTGAGCTATGGGTCCTCAACTCTCCTTCTTGGTACTGTGATACCGTCAAACACCTCGAAACGCCCTTGATGGTTTGATTCTAGATCCGGATTCGGACGAGAGCGAAACAGGTTCACCCCATCTCCATCCTTGGATGAATCCATCGGCGTTTTGAAGGGGTCAAATTCTGAAAGTTGCCACCTGTTGGCAAAGGAAGGATCGTGAAAGGTCCTTGGTGGTTGGACGCTTCAAGTTTGATAGACGATCACTTTTCTTCGTGTCTTGGATCAAGACCTGTCAAATCAAAAGAATTGTCTGGCTTAACCTACAGGTCAGGTGCCTCTCATAAACCTCGGCCCCATCCGCAGAACTGCCTTGGGAAGGTGGGTGATATGCGCTTCCGGGTGCAAAAGGCAGCTCCAAGATCCTGTATGCGCCCAGATGTCCGGGACCCGGACGGTGCGTCACGAACGCACCACTGCACGAACTGACGCCGCTCGCTTTCTGTTCAACGCGCGCACACGGACTACGCACGGAAAACATGGAAAACATCAGTCTTTTCTCCTTTGCTCCGCACCAAACACGTTGCTGGGACGATTGGGCATTCGGATGGTGAAGCTCTGCCGGTAGACTCTGGTAGACTGGTTCGGTGATGTGCTTTGCCATGTTGGAGAACTGAACAGCGAAACTGAACGGCTAGCTGCAGAGCCTTGGAGAAGACTAGAAACAGTAACCTTTTGAGGATAAGTTAATAAGTATAATGCTGTGGCTGTTGCCCCAGCTCCAGCAGCTCCCACAACAAGATCAAGGGTTTTCAGGGCTGCAGGAAGAGTTGGTGCAGACACACACATACACATACATGCGCGCACAGACACACTCTGTCAACCATAGCAATTTCAGGAATGTTGTAGTGTAGTGAAACCCTTTGTTCATCTGTGTTCTGTCTTTGCTTTCTGGGTTCCAGTGGCCAGCAACTCCTGCCGAAGCCGTCCGGTCCAGCAACTTCTTCGCAAAGAATGTTGGTTGGCTGAGGCTGGCCATCCTCAAAGAAACTGCAGATCCCACCAAGACAGCTCACCCCGACATGATGCATTACCCCGATGATCAACTGCTGAGGACATTTAAAAGACCTTGCTTCTGAAGACGCGACCCTGGTGTAGATCAAACCTTACCATCATCAGCTTAGTTCCCTTCTCGTTGCGGACCATTGGAGGTTTAAAAAACGTTCTGAGCCCGCGTGGAAACATGCGTATATGTTAAGTTACCAGATCCGCCGATCGGTGCCTCAGATGCAGACCTCGCAGTGCCAGAAGGTTGAGGCGCCAGTTGTGCGGGGTGAAAAGGCGAAGAGCAGTTTCCTGACGGGTTGGCTGTTGGCTTGTCACAAAACACCCTGACCAGGGTAACCACTGGTCGGTCTGGGGTCTCCCTTTCTCGAAACGTGACAAAGAGGTGTGGGGGGCATCATGACCCGAGAGGTGTGGTTTCTGAAGACTTGCAACCAACTCTGGTTGTCCAAGTGCAGCCACGAAGCTCAGCATCGTGAAGTATATCGTTTGGGGATGTATAGCAATGGAGTTACTGTAGCAATGGCAGTGAGCAAGTGAGCAAGTGAGCCAATCAAATGGAGGAGGTGTTTTCTTTGCATTCTATTCCTATAGCATCCTAGAGTCCTACAGCTGTGGCCTTGACAGATCTTGACAGAGGGGTTCCAGTCAGATGAGACGGATGCTGTGAGGGAAGATCATTTCCCAGACCATCCATGGGACTGGCATATATATATAGTTATATATATGAAAACTATTGAACACCTCCTTTTCAACCACCCCAATCAATGGGATGGTCCCATGGGATGGTTTGGGTTTGATCCCGTCCAGACGGGTCGAATCGACGACGCTCGACGCTCGAGAGCGAATCGACACGTCGAGGTCTCGTCCAACTTCCCCTTCACTGGCACTCAGCGCACCGAGGCGGACAGGGGATCGGTCGATGGGACGACAAGGGATCGACCTCCATCAATTCTCATCCTTTTTTGGGCGAATCTGAAGTCGGGAAGTCGCTTTTTTGAGGCTTTTTGGAGCTTTGAGACCTCTCCAGGGAATTGGGGGAGTAGAGGATGTATCCCCGCCATTCAAGTAGCTCTTCAAGAGGCTGCATGTGGTGGTAGCCGACAGCTAGACCCAGCCAAAACAATGTCGACATTGGGTGGCTTGCTAAATTCCAAGACAAAATGGCACGATGTATCAGACATCCAGGATCTAGCAGAGTCTTGCTTCAATACATACATATCATATTATAACATTCTGCCTTTGCAAGTTTATCCTCATAGCAACCATAGCATGTTTGAGTGGCTCAACATCTAGAAGCACAAGGCTCCCCCCCGACAATTTTGAGAAATGGATGTATATAGCAAGAGTGTAGGATTCTTTCCCTTTGAGCTGCACGTGCTATTTGGGTTCATCCACACTCATCGCTTGACCATCAAAACCCGAATGTAACATCTTGGCAGGACGTCGATTTCCCCGCCTCAGTTCTGCCGCGCATGGGGGCTCAGGGGAACAGAAGCTCCAACATCGACGGCTCAAACATCGGAGACCAACTGAACCAACAAACAGACCAGCTGGCAGTGGGGCAGATGTCCTAGTGCAGATGTCCACCAAGAATGGTCACTCAGATCCAATGTTTGACATTTGATGAATCATCAGCTTTCGGTGTGGGAGGAAGATTTGTACGATGCGCTTGGCCGGACCGCCTCCTTTCTTCAACAATGAGGTTAGACAAACTCATGCAGGTTGAGGGGTTGTTTCAGCTTGGGCCATTGGACCCCTATCAGCAGCCCTGAGTGTTTGATAGTTTGCACAGTTTTGACAGAGGGATCCTTTGTCACGAGGATGGACATGCTAAATGCGGACACCCAGTTGGACCCCCAATTTCGGACAGTTTGCTTTGTTTTTTCAGCTGCTAGTGTTTCTTTGGTCCACTGGAAATTCCAGTCCCAGCTGCGACTCGGACATTTCTCCGCAGCGTCAGTCTTGACGCAGCTCATGAGCTCCAGCAGTGGGAGTCCCGCAAAGCTGGGACGCCCAGTCGGGGAAGAACGCGAGGACGTCGGGTTGCCTGAGGATAGCTCATGCATAGGTCATGCCAGGTCCCAAGATCGAAAAGGAAAGTTCGAGGTGAGACGATGCGCGGGCACGGTGCAGTTGCCGAACGTATTCCATGTCTTCTGTCAGGGAGGCCTTCTATCTCCAGGTGAGATGGCACATACGTAACATACGCAGCATGGCATCTCTCGCTTGGCCAAAGACATGCCCGAACGACGGCTTCAAGGGATCAGCTTGGGAAGGTGAGTTTTCAATGTGAGGTACAGTCACGAGTGTCGCTTGGCCTCATTGTTTGTCGACCAGATACTGCACATAGCCTGTTGTATGGTTTCTGCACCTCCATCGGAGAAACATAGCCTGTTGTATACGTAGGGCCCAAAGGGCCCAAAGGGAAGACACAGACACCTCGGCCTTTGGCCTTCCACAAAGGAGATTGCACTTGGATGCATTTTAAAGCTTCGGAGACGGAGAATCCCCCAGCTAACAGCCAAGGAAATGTCCCGGGTGTTTTCTGTCAGTGTCCAGTCCCCTCCACCATGTTTTGCCCAAGACTCAAGAGAGAACACATGACCAGGGATGTGCACCGCCCCCTGTTCCGGAGATGTTACCTTTTGCGACACCGTATGACCCGCTTCAAAAAGCATTTCCTGATACAGGCCCCTTCGACAGGCCATCCACATCCCCATCAACCCACCGAACCAGAAAACCGAAGCGACTTCTCGAATGGAGGAACACGAAGCTACTTGTACTTGGAGATTCTGGCATCTAGGAGCTCCTCTCCCGCTCAGTGCCGCCACCCGCCCCAGTTGGAAGACCTCAACGGTGGCCACGGATGAGATCTGGGGAGTCATCGGGGCCCTGTGCGCGACACGAGCCGCGGTGCTCGTTCGGTGCCTTGAAAGGGCCCAACAAGAAAGGGGAAGGGAGTAGCTGAGTAGCTCTCGGAATCCTGTTTTGGGATTCTCATAAACTGTCTGGTTGAAGAAACGTGATGAGCAATGAGCAATGGCTGGATGTCAAAGCACAGAGCGGACATGTTGAGGCTGGTAGGTCTCCCTAAGGCTTTCGTCACTGTGAAAAATCATATGAGATTGTTATTTCACTCAAAGATACGGAGGGAGGCTTCTCTGCTTCTACAAATCAGAGAAAAAGATGAATCATTTTGTACACCACATGTTTGATGCCTGCTGTACAGTATATGCACATTACGCATTTTGTGTAGACGTTGCGCGGAAGGTACAGCAGCGCTGGATACCAGTTCTGGTTCCCCATCAACCCAGTGGATATCAGCAATATCACCACAAAGATGGGTGAGATTGCCTCTTGGACTGAGTACAGAGCGAAGAATGGTTGAATTTTGATGAGTTGACTCAGGTGAGTCAGGGAGGATCAAGGTGCTCTATGGTACGTAGACTGCACCCACTAAAGGCCCCATGAACTGTATATTCCATGCCTGGGGCAAGCAAGCAGACGTTCATAGGTTTCCAATTTCCACCCAGAAGATCTCAGCACTCGGGTATTTTCAGATGGCCAGCTTGTTCACAAAAACGACCACCACCCTAGTAGCCACCTTCCATGATCTTCCATGGTGCAACAGTTTTTTACAGATTGGAATTGACATGCTAGGGGGTTCCTGCCTCAGACAAGCTGACATATATATTACTGTAGTTAGTTGGATTCTCCAAGTTGTAGCTGTGAGAGCGGCCAGATTGCCCAGGCCTGGCTTTGGCCGGTAGCCCAGCTTGGAGCAGGATGACACGTGCTATGCCCTGCTATGCAATCATTTCCGGATCATATCAATTCATTTGGATACGATACATAGTACTATATTATATATGTATATATTGTATAGAGGTATACGAAGGATATAGATGTCAGATGATTGCATGATTGCACGGTGAAACACCTGCAGAAGTTTCTGCACACTTCCATATGTTCTCAGACCAGTGTTTCTGCACCTTCCCTGCCACAAAGGGGGCTCCCTGCCCCGCATTTGCCTAGTGGCCTAGTGAAGCTAGAGATAAAGGATATGGTGAAGAGGCTCAAAAGCCTTTTGTTACCACTGGTACCACCTGAAACCTTTGGCCCCATGCAATAGGTCGTTGCTTTTTGAAGCTCCTTGTGAAACCACAATGTATATATATATATATATATATGCAATATTAATGATTGATTTCCTCAAATCCTTAATTGACAAGAAGATAGCTCATGGCTGCGCACTGGAGGCCGCACTGGCTCACCGCTGATACGCGCTTCCTAGCAGCCCTTCGATAAGCAAGAGCATTGGAGTTTTCAACACTCGGAGAGGCTGAGCAGGTAGGCAAATCCAACACTGGTATGCCGTATCCGCAGTGGTTTGAATCTACAAAATTCGTTTATTCGAAGATGGCGATTCAAACACTTGTGGAGCCCTTTTTAATTCTTTGGCAGGTGTGACTTTGGAAGATTCCACATTGTAGTTACTTCAGAATCAATGAGAATCATGATGTGGGGAACAAATGCTGCTATACAGTGGGTTCCAATGCCATCCGGTTTTTATAGCGCTCCCAGACCCGTTGCGCCTAATCATTTCATGCATGGGTATACCAAGAGTGCTGAACCTATTGATCGATAGACCTGTTTACAATGTCATTGGACTTGCAGCTGAAGGTGTCAAGTACTTTTTCCCACCTGCCAGGTGAGGGTTGTTAGATTTTATCACAGTTGTTCTTCCTCCTCCTCCTCCTTCCTTCCTCCTTCCTCCTTGCTTCCTTCCTCGCCAATCTTCATCGCCAATCTGCATCGCCAATCTGCTTCGCCAATCTGCTTCGCCGATCTTGTCTGGCCAGCTCCGGATCGCAGTGTGCACCCCTGGACCTCAACCGCAAGGATCCCCTCGCAGTGTGCAC